CCGTCAGTCTATTAATTAAGCACAAATAATTTTTACTTATCTTCTTACCGGTATTCTTTACATTCAATGTAATTCCTATTCGGTTTATTTTGATAGATTCTCTCATTTTACGTTTAGCCGCAAACATGCTATAATCAGCAAAACAACAAGTTTGAGACCATTCAATCTCGTGTCCCGTTCCTGCCCTGTGCTTCTTCAAAATCGCGTGTTTTACTGGAATTTTAATGAGACGTCCATTGTTCTAATTGCTATATTATACTCGACGAAGGTACTCATTTTTATCGTTTGTGTATTTCGAATTTATCAAGACTTCTTGACTATGATTTAAGAAGATTTAAGGACAGATAGTTAGGCTTTTGCCACAATGCTATCAGTCGGCCTCGTGATACTTCTGCATTTTCCTTTTCCTTACCTCCTAAAACGTTTTCTCCCGCAGACTGAACTGCATTTTTGACTTCGCCTCACCGCCTCACCGCCTCATCAACGCCTCTAACGCGATTAGAAACTTGATCTTTACCACTGCTACAAAACCATGGGTACAAAGACTTAGAGGAACGCACCTTGTCCGGAGTCCATTGTATGCATCATCATTTCCAGAGTAGGACCGTGTACGTGGTACATTCCCAGAGGTTTCGCCGGCATCGTAGTCGGCATCGTCAGTGAGTCTCGCCATTCGTAGCACCATATTATAACTCTTGTCTCTGACGATGCCGACTACGATGCCGGCGAGACGTCTGGGAATGTACCAAGTCCACGGTCCTACTCTGGAAATGATGATGCATACAATGAACCCCGGACTAGGTGCGTTCCTCTACATCTTCCTACCAATATGACCGAGTTGCGAAAACAAGGTCGAACAACTTCTACACAACGAAAGGAGACTGCGACCACACAAAAGACCACACTATCTTGGTCTGCATACCTTCGATGTTAGTTATGTTTTAAAACTATTCAAAGCGTTGTGGAAAAAAATCCCCCAACCGTCCCTCACTGAACTTGAGCGAGCTGGGGAGATTTTATGCAAGAATGGTTGATGGTTTCTAAATGTACCCAATTAACACATAATTTTCAGGGGTTCTAATCAACATTCACGCGCTATAAGTGAACACACCCTTTTAGTGTAAATCAAAGCCAGCTAATGTCGGGTGGAACCAGGCGAAATGACTTACTCGACAGTAGATCCGCCTCATTCCATTGAGACCCTTCAACTCTACTCAGATTTTTGCCTCACTCCTCGATAGAATTCATACAAAAGGCTCTGTGCAATCAGAGTTAGACAGTCATCGCTGATTAACCAAGAGAGCATGATGGTAATTCTGATAAATATTACATGAGCAATAATAATAATAATAGTGTTATACATTACATTATATTTTTTTTACATTATCATAATAGCTATTATAATAATCCATTGTAATAAAAAGACTACACATAACCCGAATTAAATCAGCTCTCAAGGTTGCCTGCCATGATCCCATACGCAACCTGGATCCTCCAATTTTGTTCATACTGAGTTGAGCTAACAAAATGCCACCAAAACTCTCATTCAATATAAACCAGGCAGGCCATATTTAGGCGGAATTCGTACAGTTTTCATAGGCGCGATAAATAAAAAAAACCCGAAACCCCTGCTCTAAAACCAGTGTCTAAGTCCAGGCCCTTCAAACGAAATGGTCTAAGGTGAAATGAAGACGAATATTGAAGTTTTTCTCAGAATTCATTCTGTCGATTTTATGCTAATCTCCACCAAAGAAATGAGCGAGAGAGAGATAGAGAGAGCACGCGCGTAATAAGCAACTTGGCGGAAGCCACGGGTACCACTGGGTCACAGGTCAGTTGTTGCCTTCAATGTAATCTAGTCCGGTGAAGCCAGCATGTATTTGGCTTCCATTCAACGCAGCTGCTTATGTTGGGACTATGTTGCATAATTGTTAAGTGAAATGGGTTAGTGGGAAAACTCCAAAATGCTTCTTTAAATCGCCTCGATCAACTTGGGGTGGTGACCAAATTTTAATTGTGGCTTGACTTTCCAATTCTAAGGTCAAGTTAGTTCGAAAGAGTGCGTGAAATTGTCTCACCGGAAACCGAAGGAGTATGGTTGCGTGAAGACTATTGAATTGTGTGAAAAATTATAGGTTCACTGTACTGCGGCCCCGAAGACTCTGTACCAAGTATTCATCTGTACCGCGGTGACAAGCATGATCAAAGCAGGAATCCATACTTTACGAAAGAGCACAATAAATACACTTAACAATATTCAAATGGTCAATCACAATAGAAGAGAGATTGGGTTTCGAAGAATTTCCTAGCAGATTAGTGCTGACATAATTTTCATTTCGTGTCAAAAGGGATTCGTAAAATGGCCTCACCGAATATCGAAAGAGGGTCGCCTTGGACTTGTTACTTTTGAAACGTGCGAAGGAAACCTCGGCTGACAGTTTTGCAATCCAGATGAATCTATGCTGAGCTTTCCTCGATCATGTGACGGGCATCTTCATAACCAGATATCATCATTTACAAAAAATCGCCAATCCTGCGAGAAAACTCTCCCATGGCAGAATAAAGTTCTCACTAGAATTGTGAAGCTAAACGCTTCTTCATGATTCCCTCTGGAATCACAGTTAAGCGGTTAGATTTGTGTGCCAGCAAGAGCATAGTTGTCTCTAAGAGATGAGATTAAACAAAAAAAAAGTTTTCGAGACATATTCCCATGGAAAATGAGCCGAGACTTTCGCTTTCACAACAATCGGTCATTAAGCATGTGCGATTTCACCAGTCCCCTCTAAACCACTGTCATGGTGACACGAGTCGTTCGTTGTCATCATATAACTCGTGTCAAAACGCAACTTGCAACCTGTACCTATGGCATCCCGATTCCCTGCATGGGAGCCATCAGCTCAGCAGTCAGCTGGCAAATGACTCCGTTGCCACCGTACCCAACTATTGACTTGACCAAATTGAGCAACAACCCATTTGCTGAATTGGGTTTACCACCAGCCCCTTGTCGAAGGCATGAGATGGGAATTTAGAAAAAATTCCAAAGTAGCGCTCAAAGAGTTCTGTCCACTATGTTCCCGCGGCGATGGCACCAACGTTTGTGACTGTGTGTGTGTGTGTGTTGGGCATACGCCACACCTCAAAGTGGTCGTGTTGGTTGGTCAGTTACATTCTCGTCTTATTTGCCAAATCCAGCCTCAACTCGGGTTAATCTGCCTCCATCCCCATCCCGGTCGCCAACAAGGCGGCCGCAAAATACGTATGCTTTCCTCCGGCCACAGCTGCCGCTCGGCCGGCGTCAAAGCGACCAGCCCCATGGCGTTCATCTCGCGATAACTGAATGAATCCGCCAGGCGTTCTCGCACAGGCCCGCTCAGTGTCTGTGGGGGTGTCGAGGTGTGGTCCGTCGACGATGCGAGTCCCACTTGGCTCCTTGAGGCGGAGTCGTGGCGAAAAGTGGTGGTGGTGTCGGCGAAAGGGTGGAGGCTGTAATTGGGAAGAAGTGAGGTTGCAAGCGGATGATTGCATAATCCTGTTCTGGCTTTGTGCGACATGTGGCCGGTGGGACAAGCTGCACTTGTGTGCCCCGACCACTCTCGACCGCTGCGCACACTCGACTTGTACCTCTTGCACCGGCTCACTATCATTCCACACGTCATTCTCTCCAATGGCGTAGTCGTTCTGATGTACAGCCGCCACATCCACAATTTCGTCCCCCTACATACACACACACTCACGCACACACATACACTTCGGTCCGAGGCAACAAAGCGCCCAGGGCGGCTGTGGGCCGGTATCAGCCAGTCTCACCCCTCGGCTGACCGGCTGATTCGATGGGCAAACACT